GGGGAAGGGAAGGGAAAGAGAAGGGGAAAGGGAAGGGGAAAGGGAAGGGGAAAGGGAGAAGGAAAGGACAGGAGAAGAGACAAGATGAGGGAGAGGGAAAGGACAAAGGGAAAGGGAAAGGGGAAAGGGAAAGGGAAAGGGAAAGGGAAAGGGAAAGGGAAAGGGAAAGGGAAAGGGAAAGCGAAAGGGAAAGGGAAAGGGAAAGGGAAAGGGAAAGGGAAAGGACAGGAAAAGAGACAAGACAATAGGGAGAGGGAAAGGGGAAAGGGAAAGGCAGTGGGAGAGGAGAAAGGCTTCCTGCTCACCCAAGATGCTCAGTCCAGGTGATCTCTGAGCCCCTGGCTGCTGTAAATGTTTTTTCCAGGGGGTTCTTTCACTCCTGTGTTATTTCTTGGTTTTGAACCACACAGACAAGGGAGGGGCTGGACTGGGGGGTGAAATGTGGCTGTGTCACCCTGGGTTTGGCGTCCAGGCCTGAGCCTGGTGGGGTAGCCCTGGGACTGTCAGGGTGCAGCAGCCCAGTCTTGTCCCTCCTGCCCTTTGGAACCCTCCCCAAGGGGCCTGGATGAACCAGCTCCATTTGCCCGAGGCTGGCAGGGCCTGCAGGGACCCTCTGGCTGCTCTGCTGCTGGAGTTGGGTGTTGTTCCTGAGCACACGTGTCTCAGGCTCTGCCCCACCACCACACAGCTCCTTCCTTCCAGGTATCCTGGTCCCTTCCAGAGCTGTAGGGAGGCAGAAGCTCCAGCCTCTGTCCCTTGGGCCAGGCATCCTGGTCCCCCTGTCCCAAACCATGTGTCACATCCCCAATGGAGCAGAGCTGGTGTCAGCAGGCTTGGAAATGAGGGGGGGAATGAAAACTGGACAGTTGTGCCTTCACCTCCCAGCTCCAAACCCCAGGCTCAGCTCTCCTCCTGCCTCCAGGTTGGCTCCAATGTCACAGTTTCCTGTCCAGCAGTTTGGGTCAAACTTCTCTTCAACCTTTCCCACTCCATCCCTGGAAGCTGCAATTCCCACCTGGCTGAGGGCAGTGAAGCCTGGGACAGAATCCCACCCGGACACAGGGAGCTGCCCAGAAATAGGGATGGCAAGAGGCCACTTCCCAAATACCCCGGAGCTTTGAGAGCACCAGGCCTGGCCAAACACTCCCCTTCCTTTGGCCCTTGACATGTGGCTGCCGGGCACAGGCTCTGCTGAATGAACGGGGCTGTTTCTGGGGGAGCTGAGGGCTGGTTGGAGCAGTCACTCATTGCTTTGCTCTTTGGCTCCCTCCCAGTTGGTGCCTCTGGGTCACCGAGGCTGGAGACCTCCACAGTGCGGACGTACTCGTGCTGAGGGTCAGCGAGACGGGACCCCCGGCCCGGGTAAGTGTGAGGGCAGCTGGGTGGGCACAGAGCAGAGCAGGAGGCCCAGCCCCAGCCAGGCAGGCTGGCTGCCTGCTCCAAGGTCTGCCTGGCCATGGGGGACTGTGGAGAGCTCAGTGGTGGGGGAGCTGCTGCCTGAGGCTCTCGGGACCCCGAGGAGAGGCGGGAGGGATTCTCTACATCCCAACCCCGGGCGCTCTGTCCATCCCTGGCTTGTCCAGCTCCGCTGGGGACCCACAGGGTGCAATTCTAGGTGGGGGGTGAGGGAAGGGTGGTCAAGCACTTTGAGAGGCTCCTGGGATCCCGCTGTACCCGTGGGTTCGTGGTTCTCCTGTGCCAGGAGGATCATTGCCTGCTCCCACTAGGTTTGTTGGGGTCGAGCCACCCCTCTCACAGGACCCCTCCCGCTCTGTTCCTCAGCACATCCCCGCTCTCGAGTGGCCCCGTGCTGGCTGCCTTTCAGGACAAGAGCCCAGCCCGTGCCTGTCCCTCGGCCCGACCCTCCAGAAGCTGCAGTTTCACTGCTCTGGACCGACCAGGACCTGTCCCTCCTGCTTGTGAACCCGCCGCTCCCCCTGTGGCTCCCACCCCCGCCCTGCCCACCCGCCCTGCCCTCGCTGCCCGGGCTGGGGATGTGCTCCAGGGGCCATCCCAGCGCGGGGCCACCCCGTGGGGCCACAGAGACGCCCCAAAGAGCGGGCTGTGACCTTTGGGACCCTTTCTCCCGCCTGGGTCATGGTGCCAATCCCCCGTGGGCCGACCCGCCCGAGCCCCGGGCGTGGGGATGCTGCTGCCCACAGGACTCGGAGCCGAGGCAGACTCAGGCTCGTGCCGGGCAGGGGCTGCCCCGGGGGCAGTGCCAGGGCCGGTGCTGTGTGTGGGGTGGGGCCGTGGGGGTTGAGGAGGGCGGTGACTGCCCAGGTGCTCATTTTGGTGCTGTGGGGTGCCCCCGGAGCGGGGGGGCGTGCCTGCCTGACAGGGCTGCGTGGGAAGGGCTGGCACTGCCTGCTCTGGCTCCGTGCCGGGACGGTGCCAGCACCCACGGGAGAGGGGGACCCTCCTTGGGGGCCCGGGGGGACACACGGGAGCACCCAGAGCCCCCCCAGGGATGTGCCCACCCATTCCCCTCCAGGTGCAGAGGAGATGCTCTCCCCTCCTGCCTCCAGGCTACAGGCGGGGATCAATGCAGGAGACTCTTAACTCTTCCCATTTCTCCCCCCTGTAGGGTAGGATCTCTTCGTCTCCTCATGCCACGTTTGCCTTGTGTGGCCCCTATTTCTGATGTGATATTTATTGATGGCTGGAATGACCTTATACTTATCATGTGCTGTCTGGAAGTGCAATATCTGAGAGGCTCTACAGTCATGGCGTCTTTTCGGTGTATTATTTGCCTAATACAGTATTAAATATTTTTTTAATTTGAAGAGTCAGTGAGCCCTTTATATCGATGCCCTATTTCTTTTGTCATATTATTGGTACTGCATGGACTCCAAACCCTGGATCGGGTCAGGAAAGGATGTATGTGTGTTCCAATAAACAGGATTTTAAAACAGTGCTGGGCTCGAGCCTTCTTTCTAGAGGCCAAATTAAAAATACCATGAATCTTTAGCCCCCTGAGAAGCCTTGGGGTACAGGGCTGAGCCCCAGCTGCTGGGGGTCTCAAACCACTGGTCTCTCAAGGGCTGATTTAAAAGTGGCACAACCAGTTCCCACCTGAGTGACTGCACCGAGGTCCAGCTGGATTTTCTGATATGGAAAAACTCCGACCTGGGAATTGGGGCAGCCTGCACAAAGGGGAACAGCACTAAAGGAAAACCCCAAGCAGTCCAAACAAGAATGCCTTTATTAAAAAAAAAAATCCAAATAAATTAGCAAAAATAATAATTAAAAAAACCAAACCCCTAAATGGCAACTGCACACAGCGCTGAGTAGAAAAGGCGGGGCAGGCTCCGGGTCGGAGAGAGCCCTTGGTCAAGGAGCATCTGGGAAAAAACACCAGCAAAGCGAACCCAGCACACACATTGGCCCCCAAAACCCCCAAACTGGGGAGCAGAGCAGAGCCCGGCGCCAAGGACTGGGCACTGCCAACATCCCACCTCTCCCCGGTCTCGTTCCCGGCCGGGTCGGGCGGGAGCGTTCCGCGGGGAGCGGGGAGGAGGCGAGCGGTTCCAGCGCTGCCGGAGGGGTGACTGTGATTCCCGGCGGCCGGACCCTTCCAGCGCCTCTCTCCCGGCCCGGGAGTCCGTGCCGGCTCAGTTCTGGCCCCGCTCCTCCCGGAAGGTCGCGGCCGCGCCGTCCCCGGCGATGCTCTCCACGAGCGAGGACAGCGAGGGCAGGTCGCGCTCCTCCGCCGCCTCCTCGGCCAGGAGGGGATCTGTGGGAGCAACAGGGGGATGACACCCCTGGGGACAGGCACCCCGAGCTGGGAGACAGCTCCCGGCTCCGCAGGGGACGGGGTTTAGTGGTGGTGCAGGTTGATGATCCTAAAGGTCTTCTCCGACCTGAATTTGCTGCCTCTGTTCCACAATTCTATGACCTTGTGGTCCCTCCCGTGGCCAGAGTGGGACCTGCTCCCAGCTCCCACCCTGGGGAAGGATGAGAGAGCAACGAGGGGTGGCATTTTTGGACAGTTTTTAGGTTTTATTCTCTGCTGGAAAACCAGATTTAAGTTTCTGCCTTCTGGGGAAAATAACAGGTGGATTTGGTTGGCGGGGGGGGGGGGGTGTGGAAATAACTGTAATCATGGGAAAATGATCAGCAGCTGCAGAAGGGGAGTGGGGAGGGAAGGGGAGCCTGAGGCAGAGATGCTCAGAGATCCTCAGCAAGAGTCACAGACCCTCAGCAACACTCAGAGATCTTCAGCAGTGCTCAGAGATCCCGAGGAATGCTCCGAGATCCTCAGCAACATTCAGAGATCCTCAGCAAGGCTCCAAGATCCCCAGGAATGCTCCGAGATCCCCAGGAATGCTCCAAGATCCTCAGGGATGCTCAGCACCACAGCCCTTTCTGGGATAGAGCTGCCTCTGCTCACCCTCATCCTCTTCCCCAGCCTTTTTCTGGGAGGGATCCAGCTATGATTGTCTTCATCCCTCTCCCTTTCCCCCCCCGCTCACCCTTTCTGGGATGGAGAAGACTCTGAGGATCCTCATTCCCCTCTGTTTCCCCAGCTCTCTAAGGGAGGGCTCAAGGGATGCCCAGGGATGAACCTTGCTGGGGGTGAAGCCACCAGGACCCCGGGCTGCTGCAGTGCAGCTTCTTGGCTCCCAAAATTTGGTGTCTCAGTGAAATCAGGGCTTGGAGAAGCCTGAATTTGCTGAGAATTGAGCCAAGGAGGTGCTGGAGGATTTCTGAGCTCCCCCCTCTGCAACAGTGGGGTGGGAGAGAAGGACAAGGCTCCTTCCCTCCTTTGCTCCTCTGTCTGGGGAGGGTTGGCTCAGTGTTGTGTTGGGGTGTCCCCCACTGTCCTCACTCCCTCCAGAGCCCAGGGAGGCTGTGGGGTGGCACAGCCAGGCGAGGAGGACCTTCTTTACCTGCAGGGTTGGTGCCAAACTCCAGCTGGGTGCTCCACTCGGGGCTGCAGGACGAGCGGCCGGATCCGCACTCGCTGGTCGCCTGTGAGGGGTTGAGATGCCAACCATGGGTGTCACCTCCTCCAGTCCCAGCAGCCGCCCCAAAACCACCCCAGGCTGCCCAGCCAGCTCAACAAAACACCCCTGTGGAGGCGAGAACATCCCTCCACACCTGCAGAGCAGCCGGAGGATCCAACAGTGCCCGTGACCCCCATGGGGGCTGGAAAACCTCCTTTTGGGCCCTGGGCACAGAGAAACTGGGCCACCTGCTCACTGTGGGTCAAAAGGTGTCTCTTTACCCAGAGAGAGGGCTGGAGATGCACAAATGGCCTTGGGCAACACAGCTTTTTGCTGAAAATCACCTTGTGAGGCCCACAAAAAGGGATGCCCTCGGGCCACCCCGCGGGGGTCTCTGGGAAAGAGCTTTTGGCAGTTTGATTTGTGGGCTTGGGGCTTGGTGGTTGTTTCCCAGAAAAAAGCTGACAGCTTGAGAAATGGGAGCTCAGAATGAACTTGTTTTGGAGTGTGTCTTTATCCAGGAGTGGATGCCAGCTCGGGTAAAACCCAAAATGGGATTTCTGGGAGCAACCCCAAGGGCCCAGCTCTTCGTAGCGGCCCCAGAAATGGCACTTAGGGTCCACAAGCTCATGGCAGCACAGGATAATTAATTAACACTTGCCTTTATTTCCCACTGAAGCAGGAAATTCTTACAGATATGATTTTTTTCCCAAAAAAAATATTGGCTTTTGCATCCCCCCTGGGAGAAGGGGCAGCTCAGGACAGAAGTGACACAGTTTTGGACACCTTTGCAGGGACAGCCACCAACTCCCCCCAAACCCAAGTGGACCCTGGGAAGTGGAAATTGGATTCTGGCATCCAAGTGGATACTGAGAAGTCCTGAGAATGTGGAAGAGGATGGGGCCTGAAAGCTTTTCCAGTCCTTTATTCAGCATTAAATGTTGGGTTACTGGTTCCTGCTGCTTTGGTCCTTAAATCCCTGAGTCTGAAGCAGGTGAATCTCTGGGATTCATCATTATTCATTATATCTTATAAAGTCCCTCTGTCTCTATATCATCCATCTCTATATCTCTCTTTGTCTGTATCTACATATACATCTAAATATCTCTATTTTATCGATGACATTTATACCCATATCTACATTATCTATATACAAATTATATATATATATACATAATTTATCTCTATATTTATCTCTCTATATATATCTATATCCATAACATTTATATATATCTGTTATGTATCTATGTAATCTATATCAATATTTATGTCACCTGTATATATCATATACATATATTTATATCATCTGTCTATAGATCTGTATCTCTGATCTCCACCTGTGTCATCTGTGCCTATAGCCCTCCATACCTTCCCATTTCCAAAGGCTCAGAGTGCACACCCAGCCCTCCCCCAGGAACCAGAGGGCAGCTGAAAATATCCCTCAAAGTGTTATTTTATTTTATTTACATTTTATGCTTTGATTTTTGCAGTTTATGTTTTTACTTAATTTTTATTTCTATATTTATTTTTCATGTTATGGATTTAACTATTTCACTCCGTGCTATTTTAATTTAGTTTGGTTTAGTTTACTTTAATGTTACTCCTTTCATTTTCACCTGTGTGATCCCTCCCAGGCCCAGGCACATGTCACTCACAAAGCAGTGGCCCCATTGGCCCTATAGAGAACAACCCCACAGAGAACAACCCCATAGAGCAATGTCCCCAGAGAGAATCACTCCCCTATGGCATCACCCTCGCAGGGCATTGTCCCCATACAGCATAACCCTCACAGAGGGTCACCCCCATAGAACATCACCCCCATAGAGCAAATGTCTCCACAGAGCATCACTCCCCTATAGCAGCGTCACCCTGAAATGGCATCACCCCCCATAAAGCACCATCCCACAGAGCATCAACCCCACAGTGTCACCCCCATAGGGCATCGTCCCCATAGGGCATCGTCCTCACAGAGAATCACCCCCACAGAACATCAGCCCCATAGAGCAATGTCCCCATAGAGCATCATTCCCCTACAGCATCACCCCTACGCAGTGTCACTCCGAACAGCATCACCCCCACAGAGGATTGTCACCCCGAATGGCATCCCCCACATCAGGCATCACCCCCATAGAGGCTCACCCCTAAATGATGTCACCCCATAGAGCATCGTCCCACAGAGCACTACCCCCCAGAGAGAGTCACCCCCATAGGGCATTACCCCCAGAGCATTGTCACCCCCATAGTGACACCCCCATAGGGCATAACCTTCCAAGGGCACTGTCCCCATAGAGTATCAATCCCATATGGCATCACCCATGGTGACACCCATGGTGTCACCCCCAAACAGTATCACCCCCATCAGGCATCACCCCCTTTGGGCAGATCCCTCATAGGACATCACCCCACAGAGCATTGTCACTGCCATAGAGTGTCACCCTCATAGGGTACAACCTATATCCCCCATAGAGCATCACTCCCCTAGAGCATCGCCCCATGGGGCATCACCCCATAGAGCATCACCCCCACAGGGCAGTACCTGCACAGAGCATCACCCCCATCCAGCAAAACCCCATGAGGCATCACCCCCACTGGGCAGCACCCTTATAGACCATCACCCCCATGGGGCATCACCCCACAGATCATCACCCCCACTGGGCAGTACATCTATAGACCATCACCCCCATGGGGCATCACCCCACAGATCATCACCCCCACTGGGCAGTACATCTATAGACCATCACCCCCATGGGGCATCACCCCACAGATCAT